ATTCTGTAGATATCCCAAAGTGTTAATTATAACAGGAGCAGTTAAATTCTTTGGCTATGAAAGCATAGCAGTTTTTAATAGATGTATCACCTGGTAACCTTGGGCATTATTAAATACATGGAGACTGAAAGACATGGTAGAAGCAATGGAAAAGTCTGGCCAGACTGCGTAATTTGTTTTAGGCCTATGGAGAAATCTATTAACCATTTCTTCTATAGACCAGTTTGATTAGGAAGTGGGACAAGCTGTTCTTTCATTACCTACCCAAACCATACTGCACTCTGTATCAATTATTTGGCTGTCTGCAGTGCATAGATTAGAATAAAGGGCTTTCTCAGTATTTGTGAATGTTGTGGATTGCTGATTAGTAATTAAAGTACTGAATGAAGAAAATTAGGCCAAAATTGAATGGGAATGTGGAAGACTTAATTCTGTGATACAGATGTTAGAAACAGATTGTCTTGAGCAGCCCATTCAACGTAGTGTGACATTGTACATAGCCATGGAGTATTTGCTTCCCATGTAAAACTCGAGTCAAATGCCTTTGAGATGGTTTCCTCTCCCATGCCTTGTGATGTGGCTGTATGGGTATTAATTTAGTGAAATATCCTGTCTGCCAGGTGTGGGAACTAGCTGATTTTATTGTAATACCAGATCATTACTTAATTCATATGCAACAGAGTACAGCACATGGAAAGCATTATAAATCTATTTACAATGTGGCTGGTCTGATGATAACATTGTATTAAATTCCCAGGTGAGGCAATTTAAGCAATTGCTTTGCCATGTGCACGCCATGGAAATTAAATTCTCATATACGCTTTAGTAATAAACCAACTTCATTGTTATGCTTTTGCTAGTGCTGGGCTGTAGAATCCTCATTCTGGTTACGTATACTCTGTTTCACATGTAGAATCATACAGGAGGCGGCACCACAGATCACAGTTTTTAATTAGTTTAAGCTAAGTTAATTCGTTTTGTTTCTAATTTAGCAGTGCCTGTCCAGGAACACATTCAGTTCAGTTGGGAAATGTCAAGGCTTGGGTCAAGTAGATAGATTGTTTCAAGCAAAATTTCCAGGCGGAACTGAGCAAATGTATCTGTTTGAACTTGGCTTTAAGAAAATCATCCAATCAGTATGCAAAAGTCCTGTTCATATACTAAGTGGAAATCGAAAATCGCTTTGAATCTGAAATTCTCACCTTCGTAACCAAAGACTCACTGGTGTCATCAGTTGAAAATTGCCATTGAAACTTTGTACATCTAACTTTTTAGAAGTCACAACCAGTTGTTAATTTGTTGTATATTTTTCTATAGTTCATATACAGTCTGCAGATTTTCTGTCCAATTGTGTCTAGTCCACATAAGTGTATAAGTTAGAAGAAATAAGCTTTACACAAACACACAACTAAAAGTGAGGAATGCTCTTGTATTTAACTCTACGTGTGTGTTGGGGGGGGGTGGCAAATACTGTCAGTTGAAGCTTTTCTACTCTTATGGTACAGACTAGAAATTGCAGTAGATTACAAACTGCATAGAGCTTCCGTCTTCTCCAGAAGCCACATATAAAGCACCAGTAGACAGTGGTAACTGACAACTAAGACTAAAAATGTTGACAATTTCTTGATTTGCCTGGTTAGCTTATGTATAGAAGTCATTAACTATTTATAAAATGCATTATGAATTGGGTTCCTTCAAACTGTAGCTGAATGTGTGACATTTCCAGCTCAAATTCTCATGTTTGCATTTGGCTAAAGTACAGATTTTATACAGTTGATAGTAAAGTAAAAATATTTTAGTTAGATTTATCAAGATACAGTAGATGTTTCAGTTTCATTAACTTTGAATCTTCCAAATTAAAGTATGATGTAGATAATTAGTAATGTAGCATGAGATTTTTTAAAAAGTCCATAAAAGGAAACATAATTTATTGATGTTTTGGAGGAAAATTATCCATAAAATAGTAAAAATAAATAAGAGTTGGTCAAGGAAAGGAATTTGCCCTTTTTTGGTATTCAATTAGTTTAGTGATGATCTTGCAGACTAAATTATCTTTGATTACAATCAGCTTATTTAGAATTTTAAATCATAAAAAATTATGAAAAAATACTAATGTTGGACATCTAAATATAATTCTTGGTAAAGCGAAGTCTCGATTTATTTTTGTAAAATGGAACTCAAATGAAAAGAGTTCAGTTTTCAGCATTGTTGTGTCATTTTCATGAGGAACTATTTCTAATATTTGAAATGAGTTGTCTTTTCATTCCTTAAGAGAAGGAAGAAGTCCTGTCAGACAACACTTTGTTAAATTCAGCATATTATTTGCTTAATTATATCCAGAAAGCCATCCAAATGACCAGTTTTTACCATCTTAATGGTAAAGAATGACATTTATAGTGACCACCCTTCAACTGTGGATCAATCCTTAGCTCTTGTCTGCTACGGAGCATGTACACTTTTAATGGCTGTTTTTTTAAAAGCAGTGGATTCTAACCAAAACAAGATTAGATATTTGGGGATACACATTTGTAATTTTCTTTTTCTTTTGAAGTATAGTAAATCAAAATAAGAATAAAATGTAATTGAACAATCTATGCCAATTTGTTGGTATTTTGGTGAAAAAAGGAAAAAACAAAAACAATCTCCATATGATATTCTTGCATACTGTGGAATGTTTTAGTCCCCCATAGTGATGAAATGAATAATTAAAAAGGCAGCTCTGATACCACAGCCTTTTTAAAGGTTCTCATTTCCTTTAATGCTGTAAAATACTTTTGCTTAGCTAGTTTGAAACTACTGCAGTGGCATCTCCAAATGAGCAAAAGAAAGCTTTGGCTTGATCTAAATATTGTATCAAGGCCAGAAAGTGGACTGTCCTAATAATTTAGCATTTTTAAATATAATCCTATATGAAGTCAGCAGAAATAGTTAATTAATAGTGGCTTCAGTAAATACAATAAGAGAAGCAGGCTTAATATATGCTGTTTGTGATGGTAAAAAGTGTGGCATGTTCACAAATGAATGAGTTGGGTCACTCCTGAATTGTCAAGAGATCTGATATAGATGTCTTTACTGACCTCAAGCTAACAACTTACTTTGTCCTTCTCTCTGAAACATTGTTGATTTTATTTACCTGCTTATAGACTTCTTGCAGTTGCCAAGATATAAGATATACATTTGTGGCAGAGAAATGAGGTTTGGGGTAGAGTGTCAGGGTAGGGAGGGGATGCCATTATCTCCTTAATACTGAAACATTTTGCAATTCTTGTGCTTTTTTTCCTGAGTCAATTCAGAAGATAATAGACTGGGGCAGAAAATTTGTGTAGTAGAAAGAGCACTGAGTGGTGAGCCAGACCTTGGGGTTCTAGTCTCACTTTAACCAAAGCTACTTTTAGAATTACATGAGACTGATTTTTCTTTCTCTAAAAAAAAAGAGGTGTCTAGATTTATTTCTTTTTATTTGTACTACATTTAGTTTTTTTCAACTGGGTTCGGCCTGAGACTTAAGCCCTAAGTCTTCAATTATATCTAATGAACCAAATTTTCTCTCATGTACCATCCTTGGGAAAATTGAGAAAAGAGACACTGAAATAATTTTCTGTGTTTTGTGGTTCAGATAAGGAATCCAATTGAGAAAGGTGGCAACTTTAAAAGGATTTAAAGTCTATTGGTTGCTCTTGTCTAAGGTCCTTTCAAATTCTAATATTATAATATTTGATGTTTAAGGTATTATGATTTTCCATGTGACCAAGAAGTGTTACTCCATTCACTAGTATAAAAATCTAATTTAAAAACTTATTGTTGACTCCTGCTCATGGATTATGGATAGTCCCTTTAAACCACAGTAATTTTTCAGATCACAGTTGAATAGGTAAGAAATTTAAAATCCCAAACCATAGACCCTAAGTAAGGCAGAAATTACTGGTTTCCAACTGCCATTTTTTAATTGACTGGTTTTGCTTAGTTAGTTCAAAAACAGAAAAGCAACAAAAGTAACTTATAAACCTGAATCTGGGTCTTAAGTAGTGATGCTAAGGTATGATCTAAGGATCATACTCCAGCTTCACAGCTAATTTTCAGTCTTTTAGCTTTTCCAAATGTGTATACATTTAGATAATTCATGAATTGCTTGCAGACATGTTCCTCTGACTTTACAGGTAAGGGTAGACTTCTCGTAAAACAAAATTTCAGTGTGTGAAACATTGACTCCTAGCCCACTTGTCTTTATTTACTGGGATTGTGAAAAGTTGACTCGTAGCCTACTTGCCTTCATTTACTGAGACTGGGAAATTTAATTTGTTTCACCACACACACACACACACACTCTCTCTCTCTCTCTCTCTCTCTCTCTCTCTCTCTCTCTCTCTCTCTCTCCCTCCCTCCCATTACTTTTCCTTAGGCTATTATTTATAGAGAACCTGGAGACATTTAAATTGTTGTTTAGACAGGGGATGGGCTTTTAAATTCCCTCTCTTTCTGGTTAGTAATATCACAATGAAGAAATATAGATATAATATTTCAGGCATTCCAGAATATTGTTAGAGATATAATTATTATCCCAGAATTAGAGATTTTAAAAGACCTAAATTGTATAGTGCATTTCCTGCCACAATATTTTTTAAAAAACCCATATACTCCTGTTTTAATTAAAATCTGGTGAATTTTACAGATACACAGCTATATAGCTGTATTTCAGCTTAGTGGTCTTATTTGAATGATGTGTAGAATAATGTACAAGTTCTGATCCATTTATGAATATTAATAGCATACTTACACAATGCAGAGTTTTCTTTCATTATTGGCATTTTAAAAACTTCTAATTTACATTTGAACTTCTCAAGTTTAGGAACTTTACAACTTTGGCTTGCAGATTGTCGCCAATAGGTTTCCATTAGGGGGCTCTCGAGGTTTGAGATGATCAGCCTTGATACCAATAAAGCTTCGAAGCCTTTACTTTCTAATGTTCGTCTTGCTCTCTCTCTTTTTGTTTTGTTTTATAGAAAAGGTCACGGATCGCCTACAGTGACGAAGTACGGAATGAGCTCCTAGGGGATGATGGGAATTCCTCAGAGAACCAGGTAGAATGCTAATCAGGAAGGCCCGGTGGGTGGCTGGAGGGTGAAGGAGGTCACTGGCGCACTGGGCTCTCAAGCTGCTCCTTAACAGTATTAGCAGCAACTCATGTGGAAGCGATACTGTTTAATGCAAAGCTGGAGTCTTAATCAACTTCAAAATGTTTCTTGGAGATCTTACATTTAACCCTTTACCTTGTGATCACTGTCTGCTATCTTTTAAAAAAATCTTTTCTTCTCCTTTCTTTATTATTTAGTACTTAAGAAATAACTTGAAACACACTGTTTGCAGACAAAGCCAAGGTCTTCACCTCAAACACATGTAAAAGGAATAAAAAAGTACATAATACAGCTTTGATAATAATGCAGTATAATTAAATCAACACTTGGAGCAAAACAAATGAAAGTAAGCTTTCAAAATTCAACAGGGTAGCTCAGTCTCCTATTGTTTAGCGTCTTAAAAATACATTCACCAAAATGCAAATTGTAAGCACCAGTACAGAACTTGGATACCCATATAGAGGGCCTGCTTCTGTCCAATAATGCTAATAATAATAATAATCATAATAGATAAGTTTTTTTACAGTTTAAGATCTGCCAAGGCAAAAACTAAGATACATTTTTTCCTTAAAAGGACTTTACAGCTTAGCTGTCAATTTTCATTGGCTCACACAGTAGTGTCATGAGTCTAATTAATGCCCTGCTTCTTTCTTTGAATTGATACTGAGGATTTCATTAATTCATGTAGATAATATATACAACTTTTAAAAAATGTTTTAAGAACACCAGTGTAGAGATGACTTAAAAAGTGTCTCCAAAAAACCCTAGTGACTCAGTTTCTTTAACACTTTTAAAGAAAATAAATGATACGGAACTTGGGAAGCAAGACTTGAATGTGTTTATTAATGTTACTTTGGCAAGTACTGTAAAGATCTCTACTCTGCCTAAATAAAATGAACAGAAATCATTCACTGAGTAAAGCATAATTTTAATAAGTTAATAAAATAAAATATTTTGATAAACATCATAACAATTGCTTAATTGTGTTTACCATTTCAAATAGATTATATTATAGGTCTATGTATGCTGACACTGTATTACTATCTACTGTAAACTGTAACAGAGATGTTGCTTGTGTGATTAAGGCCCCCACCTACCCACCCAAGAACAGGGAAAAGAATCACTGAGCTTACTGTGTTTGTTTTTGGAAAGATCTCACCTCCTCCACTATTTGGATATTATCAGCTTGCGTTCAGACATGTAAACACATTCAGATTTGACTTGGGATTTCAGCTTCCCTGATTGAAATGTGAGAATAGCTAAAGGAAAAAAAATAGCACATCAAACATAAAAGGGTGATGTGATAAAGGAATTTTAGTCATAATAGATTAAATAATGTAAAGATGAGAGAAAAAGTATTTTCTTCCTTTTTTAAAGTGAGATTTCGATTGCTTATATCCCTTGAATGAATGAATCATAATTTTATTTCCTATCTACTGCAAAAAAGTACTCTTTTGCAAAAAATTGAATGCATAGTTCCCATGTCAGTTCTTTAAAAAGCTATAGATCTTTCTCTTATTTGAAACTACTGCCTAATATAGAGAAAATAGAAAGGAAGGGGGTGTTCCTGTCTAACTCAGACTTCTTTATTGTAATGGATGTTGTAGTTCTATGACAGGGATCTTTTTTTTTTTTTTTAAAGCATGTTCACTTCTCTTAATGGACATTTTATGTGCCTAAAACATTTGCCTTACATACATATAAGTATGATATTTTTATGCCTAAAGAAAAATATTCTACAAAAATAGATTGAGTTCATATTTTCTGAATTTTTCAAATTATATTCCTGTCACTTTAAAGTGATCATGCAGAGATTTCCCCTGGACTTGTATAAATCAAACCTACAAATTCTGAAAGTGCTTGGAGAACCTGAAGTTTTAAGTTTTAAGGAGCTGTCACTTCAATAAATATAGTATGATAAATTATAGTCATGAGAATATGTAACTGTTAGATTATTACTTATGTGAACTTTTCAGTCTAAAATTTGAATGAGGTGTAAAAGTTCAAAGAGACCACACTTAACTTTTTGGATATATTGTTATCAAATGTAGCAAAATTTCCATATCATATAAAGTCATTAAATTTTGTTTTACAGCTCTTTGTCATAATTAATATAGGAATTAAAATCTCTCAAATTAAAAACATCCTTAACCAGGTTTGGTCACTTGAAAACAATTTTTTATTCTATATCAGTATTTGTTCAGATTATGGAATCAAATAGATCTTTCCTTAAAGAAAAGGAGGATTTTAAGTCAGCTCTTCATATTAACTTTTATAGTTCAGTAGCTGAGAAGAGTTTTTTATAGGTAGGATTGCCTATAATTTATATAAAAAATGTTTGCTGCCCACAAATAAGTTTACTTTTAAGTTAATTATTTATGAATCAATTTTAAGAACTTCTTGTCTATGTAATATTTATGATAAACTTTTAATAGGTAAAAGAAACAAAAATAAACAAAATGGGACAAAGATAGCAATATTCATTTAATTGAAATTGGGATATATCTGTCAACTTAAAAATATAGATCAGAAAAGGAAAAAAAGGAATTAATAGCAATGATTATAAATAGATGAAGTACTGGGTACTTATTTTCAATGCAATATACGCATGTTCTGTATAGTAGCCTCTTTGTGAAGATTTGAACAAATATGGATACAATAACTATTATTTCTCATTTTGGTAATTTACATTGCAGTTTTTTTAGGTATCTAAAACTTGATTGTTAGTACATATAATCTGCTAATTAACTATAAAATATATTAATTAACTCTTAGGTACATAAACATTTCTGCCATGATTAGAAATGTCTAAATTTCAGAAATTAAGAATTTTTCAGATGCATTTTTAGTGTCCCTCATACAATACATATTTCATTTAATCCAAATTAATTGCTTTGTATAAATTTATTTCTGGTTCATATTCATTTCATTCATCAAATATAAGTCATCCTTGATTTACAAAGAGGGGACAAAATTACCTACTTTGCACATTTGAGTATTGTTGGGTTATCAGCTTTCCAAAGACTATTGTTTTAAGTATTATCATTCTATTCTTTTAAAGTATCATATTTGCCATTTCCATATGGCAACATTTTATTTCTTTGAGAGAGTTGAGTTCTTGAATGTAGTGATGCTGTATTTAGAGTGGAAACGTTGACAGTTAACTTGATTTCATTTCATGAGAACTATTATCAAAAAAGTAAAAAAAAAAAACAACTTAAAGAATAAAATCATAAAGGCTTTCATAGTAGATTGTGATAACAGAGCAAATAAAATGTTCTGAGCTCTGGTTTTGAGCCTAAATAGCTTCTTAGTTTCCATATACAAAATTATATTGATCAGTGACTTTGAGTAAATCCTAAAAAGACGGTTCAAAAAATATATAAGGGGTAGGATATTCCCAAATGTGCGGAAAGTTTTGTGGCAAAGCAATATTTAGCAGATAATGATTGCTTAATTTTTTAATACGAGGTTCTCTTAACTTCCGATTTGGGCTTGCTGTGCATAAAGTGTGTCAAACTTCAGCTGCAGACCAGGGGGTGAAGTCGGTCAATTTAATTCCCCAAGATCTAAAGAAGGTCGGTATCATTTCATATAGCCCTGGCAGAGCAGATCATTACCAGGCACAAATCTGTTCGTTACGTGCTGAGGGTTTATAGCAAAATAAATAGACTGTCATCATAAGTTCAGAAAATTGTGTGTTCGACCCACGATAATGTGTAAAGGGCGTTTAATAGAGTTCAGCATTTATTCGTTATCTGTATGCGTACAGAGACGGCAGTTGTGTTATCAGCTTTAAAAAAAAAATTCGGTGGTTCTGGGGTCACGTGACGCCCCGCACACAGCGGCGCGCGCGGGCCCTCACACGCTCCGCGGCGCGGTTTTGATTTTAGTCACAGCAGAAGGCTTAGCCACAAGAGATTCCGCTGGTTCAAACCAGCGTAAACCAGATTTTTTCAGCCCACAAAGGAACAGATTACCTCTTGTATCAAATTCTGCATTGGGGGAAGAAAAAAAAATCTTTGTTTCAAAAAAGATGTTGATTATCATAACTCAACATGGTGGCATTGCACACTTTCATGTCGCCTATGATGGAGCTGGTAACTCGATAAAATACGAAATCACTGCTTACAGTCTAGTCTAAGCATTGTTAATTTTCAAAAATAGACCATCTTTTGTTTACTTGAATGAATAACTCTGGGCCTAACCAAAAAAAAAAAAGATAAAGATTAAAAACCCTCCCATTACCTAGCTTAGCTACAAATCCGGTGTGGGGCTTGAAGGCAGCCATGCAGCACAAACAAGATAGAACGTTTTTTGTTTGGAACCTATTGAAAAAACAAATGGGTAGCATTTTTAAACACTCATTGATTATGGCAGGGTGGCATGCCCCAAATGGTCTCTATTGCTGAAGAGTAGTTTTAAACTTTGGCCCTTTAAGTATCATAGTCAACTGAAGAATGGTGCCCCCAGAAAGAAAAGATAGCTGGCCGATCAATTCCCAGATCGTCTCTTTCTGAGAATTAATGTTTGCCTTTTTCTCCCATGATGTTGGGATAGTAAAGAGAAAGATTCCAATATTTGATAGGCCAAGTATTGTAGCTGAAAGTTTTACTTCTTCTAGGGAAGAATTGTAACTTTTCACATGAAATGATGAGATGCTTTACATAACTGGATGGTTGCTGAGAGAATGAGTGTGTTAATTAAAAATAATGACAACTTCTTGTCTATTTTGAAAGGATATTAAAAGTTTCATTTTCACTAAACACACTGTGAGTCATTATATGATAAATTCTGTACTCTTTTGTAAAGAATTTGCAGCAATTTTAAAATCGTACTCTTTTGTACTTGAAATACTTTTCGTACAACAAATGAAATGGCAGAATAAGCTGGAACACATACTGCCTTCCTTGAATTCGAGACAAAAACAGCATTAAGCATTGAGATATCCGGGCTACAGTAAACATGATACTTTTAGAAAGACTTACAGTGAGCAATTCATGGCACATTTCTCCCAAAGCAATAGTTTAATTTATTGGCCTGCATATTGTCAAGTGTTATAACAGATGTTACAGATATTTTGATGTTTAAAAATTATCAGTTGTAGACCCAAATTGCTGAGGATGCAAATTTCAGATCTAGAATGAGGTTCAGAGTCTGTTACAACACAGGTTTCAGTTTCTATTCATTGCAGAAACTGTGGTCGTCATCTCCATTATACAATGATATTTGTGGTTTAGAATAGTGTCTTAGACACACACACACAGAGTGAGCCAGATACATGATTATATCATTTTTTTAAGCTTCTAAAGAGTAGGAGCTCATTTTATCTGTTATATTTAAAGCAAATAGAAAAATATTTTACATAGGAGATTTAAAATGTGATCATAGGAGAATTTACTAACAAGAGTGGTTTTTGATTTATAAGATAAAAATTTAAAAATGAAGAAACCATTCAAAAATTTAAATGAAAACATGCCATATGATTGCAGTAGCCTCTTAAGCAAAACAAAAACCTAGAAATTAACTCTGATATACACAGTAGTTCAAAGTATAGTGAAATATTTCTTGATACTATATCCTAAGTAAGTATTATCTATCCTGGCATACCTTATTCTTAATTAAAATAACGTTACCTCCAAATGCAATCCTATTACAAGAGTAAGTACGAGTGTGACATTAACTAACATAATAGTTTGTTGTTTTAAATACTTACTGGGACCAAAGCATAAGCTATTAATCATTTTCATTTATAGGTAAAATCTAAAATCAGTTGTCAAGATTCCAAATAGAGAAACATCCTGAAAACTTGTATATACAAAACCTCTTCAATGGTACATTCTTAGAAGAGAGGAACAGTAAACTTGTTTTCTTTCTTTATAATATAGACTTCTATGAAGTCGTTCCCCTTTATTTCATGATGGTGTCTTAGATGTACTTTAAAAGAGAATTTCACACTATTCTCTTTGTTTAATGTGACAGTGTGAGAAAGTGATCTTTATTCGTTCAAAAAACTCTGCATGTAGTCTATGTTTAGGTTCTTTTAATGTGTTTGTCTGTGATTTTTAAATGCTAAACATGTAAACAGATAAATTGTCAATGTTAATTCTGTATCCTGTCACACAACTGATCTTTCTTTCCTGCCATTTCTTTCCTTTTTATCTTTTTTTTGTGCATTCATGTTGCAGTTGATAAAATTACGTGAAGAGGTGAGTACTTCCTAGCTTCCTTTTTTTTTTTAATTCTGCTTTTCCCTATAAAATTGAGTTTCTAAATCTAAGTGGATCTTTGGATTCATTTTCTACACATAGCAAAAAGTATTGATTATATTGCTCAGAAATCTTCTCTGCTGGCCATTTTTTAAAAGCAACTATATCCTAATCATGCTTATCATAGGGATCATTGTTCTTTGTTGGCATTGGGAAAAAGTTAATATTTTAAAAGCATAAAAACAAAAGGAGGAATAATAAAGGAACATCTTAAAACTATACCTGAATATAGTTTTATTGTAGGCTGTAACTTCAAGTTTGTTATATTTATGTTGGTTTCTCAAGTCAATAGGGTTTAATTTTTTTTCTGACATTCTGATTTACTTTACTATAACTGTGCTTAAATAAACTCCTTTCCCTCATTCAAAATTGTTAGTTTCAACTTACGACACTATGGATGTATTATCCTTTTGGGGAAACACACATGTGTTATCAATGCCCTACTATTCTGTGTTATTCTGTGTGCATAGATACCTAAAAGTAGCCAAAGCTCTCGTCATTGTTAAATACTTTCCTTTTTGTAGGAAATAGCACCCAAGTGAGTTCTCATTTTTCTGAGTTTGCTAGTGTGTTTCATAATGTAACTCTAGACTTTTTTATGGCTCAGCAAATATTTACAGCAATGTTTATAATTTTATCCCTGTATCAATGAGAGATGCTGAATGATTCCATTTAAAAAAAACATTTCAAATATGTTTTGGTACTCTTTTTCAGAGATAAATATTTTTTATTTAGTGAGGTTGAATTTTGTTATTTTTCTATCAGAGCATAAAATAATGGCCCACATTGCAATTTAAAAATTATCTAATTGCTTATAATAATTAGAGTACTATGAATTATTTTCAAATTTAGTTTAACTGCATTGATTGAAGTCTTTCTAAAATTTGTTTTTATTGGCATGTCATCATTCTCTGAGTGATACAAATGTTAATTTGGAAGCTTGTAGATGATGGTTTTCAACAACTCTTCTGATTTAAGATACATTAGTGAGGTCCTCTCTTAATAAAAATAATAATGACACATAAAATGAACAGGAAAAATACACAAAACCCCTCACTCTCCAACCATCTTATGTTTTTTATCTTCCCTGAATGGAAAC